TCTTTTGAGACAGAGTCCCACTCTGTTGCTTAGGCTGGAGTGTGGTGGCACTATTTCAGCTTGCTGCAACCTCCACCTCCTAGGTTCAAGAAATTCTCCTGCCTTAGCCTCCCGAATAGCTGGGATTACAGGTATGCATCACCACGCCCAGCTAATTTTTTGTATTTTTAGTAGAGACAGGGTCTCACCAGGTGGCCAGTCTGGTCTTGAACCCCTGACTTCAGGTGTTCTGACTTCAGTTGAACCCCGGACCTCAGCCTCCCAAAGTGGTGGGATTAAAGGCATGAGCTACTGCACCTGGCATATGTAGCTTTTTTTTTTTTTTTAAATCTTTGTAGCTGTTTTATTTAGGAATAAAATATGAGGCAGCTTTGTTACTAGTGGAAGGTATCAGCGTTCCCTGCGGTCAATCTGTTTGGGTCTGCAGTGACCCCAATTCTTCCTTCCTCAGGAGAAAGCATGTAACTGAGGGGTATAAGGCAGAAAAAGAGACCGAGGTAAATTTCAGAGCAAGAGTGGAAGTTAGTTTCTTTATTTATTGAAAAAATCTTGGCCAGGTGTGGTGGCTCACGCCTGTAATCCCAGCACTTTGGGAGGCTGAGGTGGGTGGATCATGAGGTCAGGAGTTCAAGACCAGACTGGCCAACAGGGTGAAACCCCATCTCTACTAAAATATACAAAACTTAGCTGGGCATGGAGGCTCGTGCCTGTAATCCCAGCTACTTGGGAGGCTGAGGTAGGAGAATTGCTTGAACATGGGAAGCGGAGGTTGTGGTGAGCTAAAATTGCACCACTGCATTCCAGCCTAGGCAACAAGAGCAAAACTCTGCCTCAAAAAAAAAAAAAAGTTTTTTTTGTTTCCCAGACTAGAATGCAGTGGCACCGTCTCAGCTCACTGCAACCTCCACCCCGTGGGTTCAAGTAATCCTACTGCCTCAGTCTCCCTAGTAGTTGGGACTACAGACGTGTAGCCACCAGGCCTGGCTAATTTTTGTATTTTTAGTAGAGACAGAGATTCACCATGTTGCTCAGGCTGGTCTTGAACTCCTGACCTCAAGTGATCCACCTGCCTCAGCCTCCTAAATGCTGGGATTACAGGCGTGAGCCATCATGCTCTGCCCTGGAGGGGAAGTTTATTTAAAAGGCTTTAGAATAGGAAAGAAAGGAAAGGAAAGGATGCTTGAAAGAGACCCAATAGGGCATGGAGGTCAAGAGCGGTGTTTAACCTTGATTCTGGGACTTTTAGGCTGGCCTCTTTCCCGTGATCCTTTCCTTAGGGTCGGCTGCCACAGCGGGCAGGTGAGCCCCTGCCATATGTTTAGAAACTGTGTTATACACCCCCATTTTGTCTTTTTTTTGTTGTTTTTTGAGACAAAGTCTTGCTCTGTTGCCGAGGCTGGAGAGCAGTGGTGTGATCTTGGTTCACTGCAACCTCCACCTCCCTAGTTCAAACAGTTCTCTGCCTCAGCATCCGAGTAGCTGGCATTACAGGTGCCCTACACCACACCTGGCTAATTTTTGTATTTTTAGTAGAGACAGGGTTTCATCATCTTGGCCAGGCTGGTCTTGAACTCCAGACCTTGTGATCCACCTGCCCCGGCCTCCTAAAGTGCTGGGATTATAGGTGGGAGCCACTGTGCTCAGTCTTTTGCTGGATTGCAGTGGCAGAATCTCGGCTCACTGCAACCTCCACCTCCCAGGTTCAAGCAATTCACCTGCCTCAGCCTCCTGAGTAGCTGGGACTACAGGCGCACGCCACTATGCCCAGCTAATTTTTGTATTTTTAGTAGAGACGGGGTTTCACCGTGTTGGCCAGGATGGTCTTGATCTCTTTGCCTTGTGATCCGCCCACCTCAGCCTCCCAACGTGCTGGGATTACAGGCTTGAGGCACGGAGCCTGGCTATTACGACATTTTACAAAACAATGTAGATAAACAAAAGGTTAATCTATCATCAGAGGAACAAAGATTACAGCTGCCTAGGTTACAGAGTTCTGCCCTGTGACTTAAGTCCCACAGTCTCATTCCTTTGAATCTCCACATAATTTAAATTTCCAACAGCTCTGACTTTGAATTACTGATTTTTACTTTTTACTTTTATTTTCTTTTGAGATGGAGTTTTGCTCTTGTTGCCCAGGCTGGAGTGCAATGGTGGGATCTTGGCTCACCGCAACCTCTACCTCCCAGGTTCAAGTGATTCTCCTGCCTCAGCCTCCCTAGCAGCTAAGATTACAGGCACCTGCCACCACGCCAGGCTAATTTTTGAATTTCTGTTAGAGATTAGGTTTCACCTTGTTGACCAGACTGGCCTTGAACTCCTGACCTCAGGTGATCCATATGTCTCGGCCTTCTAAAGTGCTGGGATTACAGGTGTCAGCACTGCACCTGGCCTGAATTACTGATTTTTACATATTGTATAAACTTTTACATCCTACTTTTTCTTACTTTTGTTGAATTTGGCCTAAAGCTGCCTTGTAAACAGTGAACTGTATCCTAATTTAAATGTGCAAACATTTCACTAAAGAAATATAAAAGTAAAATTTTAAAAAAAGAAAATAAGAAAAAAGGAGTGTAAACATTTGGGGAAAAGCCTTTAGGCCTTGTCAGTTTCTAGAATCTATTTCACTATGCTAGGGACTCCATTTCCAGTATTAAGTTCTATTTTCAGAAGGTCAATCTGGCGAGCATGAAAAAAGGTGGTGGGGAGTACAATCAATTGCGTCTAGACCAGGTTCCTAGGACCCGAGGGTCCCCTCTGTATGGCAGAGGCACCTGACAGCCGTACCTGATGTGACCCTGAGAATGACTTTATGATCTAAGAAGAATGTGTGTTTGGAGCCCCAAGCTAAGGAATCCGGAGTGGCAAGATGTGGGAAGGATGCCAACATGTGAAACCTTGAGTCAAGAGGTCAAGCTGGGCACTTGGTTTCTCAGGTCGCCTGCTTGGCCCTCTTCCAAGTTATACTTTCCTTCATTCCTTTCCTTCCTCTTCTGAAGTTTTTAAATACACCTTTTTTTTTTTTATTTTTTATTTATTTATTTATTTTTGAGACGGAGTTTCGCTCTTGTTACCCAGGCTGGAGTGCAATGGCGCGGTCTCGGCTCACCGCAATCTCCGCCTCCTGGGTTCAGGCAATTCTCCTGCCT